GACCAGTTCAGTTTTTGAAAAATAAATAGACTCATTAAGTTTTTGCATGATTTTTTTAGGAAAAACAATTGTTTCAAAATTATTACGATTAATCACCATATACTGACTAATCACAAATATGAAATTACTTAATTTATTTATTTTTTTAATCTGCCAGAGGTTGTGGGCAGAGAGAAAGAGGGAGAGGGAATGGTTAAGTGGGAAAGCATTTTCCACGGGGAATTGTCTCACCACAATCCCTTTCTTTTATTTCTCCCTCCTTTTGGGATTTTGAGCTCATACACACACATATGCACCTGGTGTGTTTCTCAGGCCACTAGGTCTGAAACTTGAACCAGGAGTTCAGCCATGTGGAACTTGCCACAGTAACCCTCACACCCAGGCTGGCCCTGAAATGAGTTACATTCTAACAAATGTGCTATTATATTTTCCTTACACTATGCCTTCAATTAGTTTAAAAGATCTTTAACAAGTGATCAGATTCATGAAATATAACCGTAAGCTAGCTTATGTACTTGATCTCTCATGGTCACTATATTCTTATGTACTTGATCTCTCATGGTCACTATATTCTGGAAAAAACAGTGCATTTATATATTTAGATAAGTCACACACACACACACACACACACACACACACACACACGGACGTAATTTACTATTTACCATTAGAAAAGTTTCAATGACATGACTTTAGCCACATAAACAGAGTAGTATATACTGCCTAATGTCAACAAAATAAATTCTTTGAAAATAAACTTAACCTCTGAGTAAAACAAAGGTAAGAAACATCATAAAAACTATGAGAAGCTGGTATGCACCAAAACATCTAGGCTTGAACTTTTATCAAAAGACCACAAATATTGTTTAGTAATATGACACATATTACAGATGTAAAAATTTAAAATCATGAGATCAAGGATAATTTGAAATAAAATTACCTAATGAATCAATAGAAATATTCTTTTGGGACCAGCAGTTAGCGTAATGGCTATGTCACTGGACTCCCATGTAGTCGGCCGTGGTTCACGTCCTGGATCTGGTGGCTTAAAACTCACGGCGGGTGCTTGTGTGTGCGTGCCCAAGATCCTGAGAGGAGAATGGAGGAGAAGGGATTGCGGCATGGCCATCCCCCCTGGGGGGTGATTTCTCGCTTTCTGTCTCTCTCTCTCTCTCTCTCTGTCTGTCTGGCGAGCGCACATGCCCTAAAGCAAAAACCTCTCCAAAAAAAAATAGAAATATTCTTTTAATACTAGAACTACATTGCATGATTATTATTTTATTTGTGTTGATAAAACTCCTGCTGGCATTTCTGTTGCAAAGAGGGATAAAGGAGATTATTTTCTCAGAGGTGTCCGTACCATGCTCACAGTAATTATATCATTCAGGAGAGCTCTAAAAATACAATACTGGTCCATCATAACTGTATTTGTAAGTATGAGATATACATTTATTTTCTAAGCAAATTAAAATAATGGCACAAGAGATCATTATCTTTCATTTATATTGATTGTTGAGCTTTGCAGATTTTAATTTCTATAGTTAGATATTTATATATGTTTGGAAGTCAGGAGGAAATAAGGAAAGAATCTACACAATTAAGTTAGAGTCTTCCATAAAGGTAGATTGATCCAGAACCTTAACCACCACGCCACCCGCTGGTCCCAAGGCAGATTGAAATAAAGTACAAAGACAATGCATGAGGGAGCCCCAGGTCACATAGGGGAGACAAGCACACTATTGGGTGTGACCCTTCTGTTTGTCCCTCTGTCCATTAATACCGCAACCCAGAGTCAACAGCAGTCTCACAGAACCTCCACTAGCTTGAACAGCACCACAGACCTCTGCCACTTCCTGATCAGTGAGGAGATTTCAACCAATGTTCATTGGCACCCTTTTCCAGAATACATGCTGGGAATGATCTTCCTATTTGTTTAAGTTGTTTATTTCTTTCTTTCATGAGTGAGAGAAACACAGAGAGAGAAAGAGAGTGAATAACCTAATTCTGTCTCTCTCTCTCTCTCTCTCTCTGTCTGTCTGGCGAGCGCACATGCCCTAAAGCAAAAACCTCTCCAAAAAAAAATAGAAATATTCTTTTAATACTAGAACTACATTGCATGATTATTATTTTATTTGTGTTGATAAAACTCCTGCTGGCATTTCTGTTGCAAAGAGGGATAAAGGAGATTATTTTCTCAGAGGTGTCCGTACCATGCTCACAGTAATTATATCATTCAGGAGAGCTCTAAAAATACAATACTGGTCCATCATAACTGTATTTGTAAGTATGAGATATACATTTATTTTCTAAGCAAATTAAAATAATGGCACAAGAGATCATTATCTTTCATTTATATTGATTGTTGAGCTTTGCAGATTTTAATTTCTATAGTTAGATATTTATATATGTTTGGAAGTCAGGAGGAAATAAGGAAAGAATCTACACAATTAAGTTAGAGTCTTCCATAAAGGTAGATTGATCCAGAACCTTAACCACCACGCCACCCGCTGGTCCCAAGGCAGATTGAAATAAAGTACAAAGACAATGCATGAGGGAGCCCCAGGTCACATAGGGGAGACAAGCACACTATTGGGTGTGACCCTTCTGTTTGTCCCTCTGTCCATTAATACCACAACCCAGAGTCAACAGCAGTCTCACAGAACCTCCACTAGCTTGAACAGCACCACAGACCTCTGCCACTTCCTGATCAGTGAGGAGATTTCAACCAATGTTCATTGGCACCCTTTTCCAGAATACATGCTGGGAATGATCTTCCTATTTGTTTAAGTTGTTTATTTCTTTCTTTCATGAGTGAGAGAAACACAGAGAGAGAAAGAGAGTGAATAACCTAATGGATTCTTTTTGTCTTTAATAATTATTTTATTTAAATTTATGTATTTATTTACTTATTTATTTAAATTTCACAAGAAAAGGACAGAGAGAGAGAGAGAGACAGAGAGAGGGAAAGTGAGAAAGCAAGCCACCAAGTCCAGGACTCATCTGATGGCCAGCCATGTGAGAGTCCAGCTCCCTTTACCGCCATGTCACTTGCCAGCCCTGCCTAAAGGGTTCTTGATGCCACAATCCATTCCAAGACCCAGCCAGCCGCAGATGATGGACACATACATGCTCAGCAAACTCAGGGAGATCTCCAGTTGAAAACCCAGAACTTTCCCATGTGATTCAGCTGTGTAGAGGGTCATGTTTTCCTTCTGCATCAATATCCAGCCCTGATCTTCCCAGTGAAGCATCATCTTTTTCTAAAACTAGGTGAGCTAAGAGAGAACAAGATGTTTGACCTTTCCATTCTGCTTTTTACCAAATTTGTTGTTCATTTTAGTTCAATTGAAATTAAAAGTATGAGAAATATGCATATATTTTTTTTCTGCTAGAGTGTCTGTACACTTGCCAGAGAGACACAGAGACAGAGGGAGAGGAGAAAGCATCTCCCATGGGGAGTGGTTCCACGACAATCCTTTCTCTTCCATCCTTCCTGTCATAATTTTTGGGCATGCACGACATATGCCCGGCATGTTTAACAAGCCACTGGGTCCAAAGCTTGACCTCTGTAATCAGCCAGTGAGATCTGGTTGCTTTAACCATCACATCACATCGTATTTTAATAACATAATGGCTATCCCTCTTGGTTTACTCCCAAAAGGGTATTTTTTTTTTTCTGTTCTTCTTTTTTCTATTGGGGGGGTGTCTTTTTTGAGGATAGAAATAAATTATAGCAAAAAAATCATTTTCATTACAAAAATAATGTTCTAAGTTGTTTGATTCTGAGTAATTCAGTCTATTATGTTTTGACATTAGCACTTGTGTCTCCATTTACTTCGTGGAGTACTTGATAGGAAAAAAGCAGGCAACAAAGGTGAATTTTTTGGTCTCATTTTAATATGCATATAGAAAATAATAGAATTGATTCAGATCTTTTTGTGTGTGTTTTTTATCCTGACTCTACAGCTCCTGCCTTGCATGGAAAATGAAGCTACAACCTAGTCCCTGTTGGACAAGGGGTGGAACAGATGGCTTGTGATCCTGCACTGCCTACACATTAGGAAAGCACCGTGGCTCGGATAGAGTACTGTTTTTTTTAGTACTAACAGTGCTAAAGTGAGAATAAATAGTCAAGCAGGGGGAAGGAAGCCATGGAGCCTGCCATAATGAAGGTTCTACCACTGTGCTTGCTGTTTCTCCCACAGGTACTGAACAAACCTCAGCGCGGCTGTTTCCCGAGATCAGTAATTAATCAGGCCTCCCCTCTTCCTTACTCTGTTCTCCACCCTAGGGCCTAGATAACACATGCTTAAGCACTCCATATTATTGAGAATATCATTTCTTGCAGGTTTTGATAAGCTACTAAATTTTGCCTGTATGTTTAGAAAAAAAGGGAAATGATCTAGAATTATTGATGATTTTGTCAACTTCATTCTTTTGGGATATTACAAAGCTTGTAAACCCAGTGCACATTTATTCTAAAATTATATTGCCTTATGGAAATTAATTTTGGGAACTGCACAAATAATCCATGTTTACAGAAGAATACATATCTGTCACAATTTATAAAAACGTATTAGATACCTTGATAGAATTTTTCTTTTTAACATTGGGCACACTAGCAATAGATTTTTAAAAAGTTAGTATAAATCAATACTTGTTATTGTGAATTCCTATTTAACTTCATGGTAAAACAGGTAAAATTACTTAATATGCTCAATTTAGTCTTTCCCATTTACACTAGAGAAGAGAAAAAAAGTAATATGCAGGTAAAGAACAACTGATTCAGTGTTATGGACCAATAATAGAGAGATGGACTATTACTAATGAATTTGAACTTTGTTCCCTTTGTGTAATTACTGTTTTGAGCTCTCTGGTACACGTAACAGTTTCTATAATATAATCCACTTCATGTCTCATATCTCTTCAAATCCTACTGCAACTCAATCCTCATTTCATTCCACAATGTCCCTGGAGAGAAGAATCAAAGAAAAACTTACTTTTCCAACATATTGTGGATCTGGTCCCATGTGTTCTTCTAAAACAAAGAACTGATTCCATACCCATCCCCTTTTGGGACGATGGTGGACTTCGGTTTCACCTTCAATGTGTTTGGTTTGGTTTCGGGTCACCTTGCTGGAGCTGTGGTGAGCAGTTCCATGACACCTCTGCACAAAACAGAGACACACTAGGACTGGACAGATGCAAGACGTGCTCGTAATTTTCATTGTAAGATAACTTTCCAGTTCACAGTTCTTCTTTTCCTTGTCAGCTACAGATGCTTAGTGAGCATTCAAGTGAGAAGCCAAAGCATCTTTTGGAAGGACAGTCCAAAGTAAATTGTTTAGTGTGTTCATGGTTTAACTGCCCATCAGGGAAATATCAGGCAGTATTTACATCCTGAACCACTGGGAGAAACAAAGCTGTAGTCATTGGATTCCAAATCTTCACAGTAGGTGAATACAGGCAACCATTTTCTACCTAACGAAAAGAGAGAAAATTAGACATATTACAAAACATGGTCATTTTAACTATTGGTCTAAATGCACAATATACTGTTTTACAGTGTGTTGCTAATGGGCAAAAAAAATATGTGCTAATTCTTTTGCACATATTCACAAACAATAATACATGTACATCTGCGTATATTGTCACATGGGCCTTCCTAGCTGTACTGTTAATTCTCATCTATAAATATGTGTGTGCTTGTGTAATTTTTATGTATGTTAGATGTAATACGAATTTTCTACACACACTACACATCAGTTACCTACTGTAAATGATTCAGTGAACTTTGACAACATATTCTCAAGGACTGCAAACTTGTCACAGACAACCACAGCAGTCAAGTAGGTGTGCAAAGTATTAGTAAGTAAAGTAGAAAAGAAAAAAAAGAAGAGGATGTTCCAGCTGAAAAAAAAAAAATATGCAACTAAAAATTATTCCAGGTTTTGAGAAAAGATTGGCAGAGGCTGGTACGAGTGAACATGCCAACTGGCTGACTCAGAGCTGGCACGAAGTTTGATAGGTCCTGCATATAATAGTACAGGGTATAGAATTCACTTACAAGTAAGACAGAGTTTCAAGCTTATGACTGACATCAGTAGGCGTCATTTCTAATACACGCATTTCTACCAGCTACATAAAGAAAGGATTAAAGGCAGGAGAGAATAGTGACAAAAAGAATGGAGAGGAAAATGCTTAGTTTTGTTTCGTTTTGTTTTTCAAATAAAAAATGTTAAGGACTTGGACTTAAATTTTAGTACAATTGGGCAAAAATGAAAAACTTGAGAGACATTTCTGGAAGACAAATGGCAGGATTTTGGAGAGACAAGGATGACTCAAATTTTTCACTTAAAGCACAAATGTTTGAAGAAAGCTAAAATTTTTGTATATGTGTATTTGAATATGTGTTTAAAATTACAATTTCTCAAGATTGACTATTCCATTCAGTAAAAAATGTTAAATGTATCACTTTCTCATGGCATAATCCATCCATGTAAATCAGCACAAACCGAAATGTAATTTTAATGAATTACAGATGGTTGGCATGACAATAAATTGATTTTTAAAACTGATTATAAATGTTCAATCGCAGCATGATTCTTTTACACAACTGAGGAAAGGTGTTATTAGAGATGAAAAAAAATCACTTTGGATCCCAGCAGAGGGTGTTTTTTTCTCTATCAATATCCCATTCCATAATTAGGGTTAATAATAATGCTTGCTTCACCAGTTGCGTAAGGATTATATAGTTTAGAATTGGAATCTCATTTTAATCCTGTAACATACATAAAATTCAAGCTTTAAGTGTTTTATGAAAGTGAGGCCAGCAGATGGCATATCAGTTACATTGCCAGACTCCCACATGGCCAACCACAGTTCGAGCCCCACACCAGGCATGTGTGTGTGTGTGTGTATGCCCAAGATTCCTGGAGGAGGATTGAGGGGAAGGTATTGTGGAGTGGCCAACCCTCTTAGGGGGTGATTTCTCACTTTTCCTCTCACTGTCTCTGTCTTTGTCTCTGTCTCTCTCCAGTGAGCACACACACCTAAGGCAGAAACCTCCAAAATAAAAAATTATGAGACCAAACATACATTTTTCACTAATTTCAATAAAAATTGTTCAAACCTCTTCTGACATATGACAAAGCAATACCATTCTAGCTCCAACACAGTAACAGTACTGGGAAGATATTCAGAAAAGACAATGGGAACGGGTGAGAGGAAGGGAATCAAGAGGAAAAACAAAGAAGCAAAATGTTTCAGGGACACAAAAATGGAAAATTATCTGTTGGTGGTAACATATCTGATAATATTTTTAACTGGACAGAGTGTAGTGTGGGGAAAATTCATGTTGTAAACTATGATATACAGCGATAGAATGTATAAAAATTTTTAAAAAGAAAACACAAGTTTTATACTTTTTTAGACAATTTACTTAACATGTTAATTTATGTGAATAATCTAATTTATTTATCTCAGGATTCCCATTTACTAAAAATTTGGGGTCTAATAAGTGCTTTTAATATTCTTTCAAGACCTGCCTAATAAATAATTGGGATGATTTTATGTTAAATTGCTTATCTTCCAAAAGATTCTTAATTTCCAAGTCATGAATTTCAAAAAGAAAAACTTCAGTCTTTTCTTCTTAGAAGCCAAGTTAATGACTAAATAGAAGGTGTTGTTATCTTAATACTTTCACACCATTTGGTGTGATTTTCAAATGAAATTAACATCTTTGCTCTTTATGCTAAGATGTTTAACAAAGCATAATTCATGAGAAGAAGGTGAAGAAAGTGACTTTTGTAATCTATTGTAGATATGTAGAATGAGTGTTTTCTATAAAATGTTGATTTAATTAGTCTGCCATTTTTTTAAAAAATGCATTTTAATCTATATGCATCTTATATGTGTATGAATCTATATATGTATTATGTGTTTATGTGTCTCTATTATGACAATTGTGAGGAGTGATAAATATGGTCTATGGAATGACCAGACTGACGGAAACATCACTACTGTGCTTTTGAAGACAATTTATCATGTACCAAGAGAACTTCAAATCTGAACATTTCCTCCTCTACTTCAAGAAACTCATCCCTGCTCAGGTTAGAAAAATTGAAATGTAAGTACTAATGTAATAAACCACTGAGACTAACACTATTGAAATACATGGCAGATATTTACGTCTTGTTAAAAACCTAAAGAGGATTCAAATATTCTCTCTGCCTTCATGAAACATTTCAATGTGTGACTTTTTTAAAAGAGATTTTTGCCATAGGGCACGTGAGAGACAGTGAGATGAAAAGTGAGATATCACCCCCTGGGAGGGATGGGCACACCACAATCCCTTCTTCTCCATTCTCCTCCTGGGATCTTGGGCATGAACATATACACGCTTCGTGAGAGTTCCAGGCCACCAGATCGGGACTCAAACTGTGGTCGGCCTTGTGGGAGTCCAGAGACATAACCGCTTCACCAACTACTGATCCTCAATGTGTCAATTCTGATGAACAGGAATTTAACTTTACTGCACACTTTGGGACCAAATATTTTTTTCCTCCTATACCCTTTCAGTTAGAACTTGTGTCAATAACATATACATGGGAAATGATGGATGGATGTAAGGACAGTAGAGAAACTTTTTATAGCAGTCATAATTTCAAAGCCCAGATATAGTGATAGTGAGGCCAAGACCTGACAGAGACCAGAGGCAGCAGCAGGGACCTAAAGTCATCCTAGCTCTACAGTTCCAGTGTCGAGTACTTGACATTTCTGGCTGTCTAACACACACTATTTCACACTAAAATAAACGTGTATACTTTAATTCCATTTTTCCACAGAATTAAATTCCAAATAAATAAGTTCACTGGCCACCCTCTACGGCTTAAGTTGATTTCTGGTGTTAAAAGAAACTTGTTGAGTAAACACTTGAATGTAATACTTGAAAAATTGTTTCCCAATAATGTATGACAAGAATTAATGTGAAGCGTAGCCCTCTCCTTCCTGTTCACTTATTTAAGTGATCTAACATTGTTTCCAGAGACTTCAGCAACTACTCCTTTTCCAGCAATAGAGTTAATAACGCTGAGGCATGATCTTTAACTGTGTTTGAAGAAAACTATCATACTTTGTTCTGGGACTTTACTCTTTGAGCTTCCTAATTCTTATTTATAAATACAGAATTTTCACTGAATTCTTTTTAGGTGGCCCTACCTCATTCTTTGAACTAATGATTTAATCGCTGCATTATTTCCAAATGACTTTTGTTGCTTATGCTGAATTACTGATATCACCCCAGATTAAATCCTTAGCCATTTGCAGCTCTCCAGTAGAAATATTCCTTTAGGGAGCTCTAAAGATACTCTTAAATAAAGGGATTCTCATATTTACCCCAAATGTTATTACTTGTCACTAGGACTTTGATTTAATTGTACTTCCCAATTGGCTCTTAATTCGTATATATTGGACTTTAAAGAGAAAAAAAGAAATGTTTCCTATTTGCTTTTGAATTTTTCTTTGTGCTTATTCTGGTTTTGCAAATCATCTTTGTAACCTATAGCCATTGACTTTATTTTATGAATAGATTATTCAATTTTCCATATGTGTGGGGTGACAAATTATTTCACATGTTCAAAAATCAGAATTGTACTTGCCACCAATTTCTAAGCACAAGTAGGACTATGGGATTTATATCTCTATAGAACAAGCCTAGCTTCAATACAATATGTCAAAAAAAAGATAAACTGATGAAAGTTCCTCTTTTTTTTTAAGTTATTTTCATTGTGAGGTATACAAAGACATTTTAAAGGGAGAAGTATATGTTAATAGGGGCTCGAGGCTCACTAGACAGAAAGGGACTTCTCAGCTGTCGATGTATGAGCCCATCCGATGACAAGGCTGTTCTTCATGTGAGTGACTCATTTTGAAAATAATGGAACTTATTTGTCCATGATGGATTATTTAAAAACTATCATCCTGTCAAATAGCTCTAAGTATAAAGGATATGTTATGTTTAAATTATGGGTTACTTATATAAGGAGAAAGTTACAGGTATTGACTAAAAGGCTGCATTTTTTTTTTAAGTTTGAAGAATAATGAACTATTTACTACTTATCTGTATATACTTTCACCTTCAGATGTCAGATTTTATTATCTGTCTTCTAAAGGCTGAAAGCTATCTTTTGGATTGGTGGTTACGGGTATAACTCCAATTGTTGGTAAGACACATCCTCAGGTATATATTTAGCTTTGGGGCTATGGTTTCCATGTAATTAAATCTCCTGATTAACAATATTAATATCATTCTATTTCTTAATTCTTATTCAAGATTCAATGATACTGGATTCTAATTTTTTTTTTGTTTTACCTTCCTGAACTTTGCCCTCTTGTTTTAATATTTTTCTCTATAGGTTTCTCCTCTTATTCTGAATCATTTGACAGTTCATCAGTTTAATAATTAATTTTACTCTTCTTCA